ACAAGGCACCACCGGCAGCCCCACGACGGCGGCGGCGCCGCCTGGGCAGACGCGATGCGCGCCCCGGCCAACGCGCCGGTCGTGCACGGCGACAAGGAGAAACCAGAGCTCACCCGGCAGTACAACGAGGGGTACAAGGTCGACCTCGCAGAACCCCACGCTGGGCCGGGAGGATGCGATGAAGTGAATGAAATCAAGCTCTGGACGCCCCTCCTCATTATCTCCTCGCCGGGCGATGGCAACGCCTCGAGTGGCGGCACGCCCGCCTCCGTTGGCCACTCCTACGCCTTTGGCAACACCGAAGAGAAGGCCCGCCGCCTAAACATGGGCTGCAAGGCGCGCGGGCAGCCCGGCCAACCCTTCTCCCACAAGACCGGCCACGGCTACGTCAAGGCGCATCGCGGTTTCTACCACGACGCGATCTTTGTCAAGCGCAACAACTTCAACCTGCTGCTCCACGAAAACGTTCGGCGGCGGCTTCTCGCCCACCGCCGTTCTCAAACTGCGCCGCCTCGCGCGCAAAGTCGCGCGCGGCAGCGTCGACCGCACGGCCTACTCGCCCAAGTACTCGCTCTCTTTTATGTCCCACCATGCAGAGCGCATCTCTCTCTCTGTTGTGCGAGGCGTGAACCGCGCCATTCGCTCTCACCTGGCAACCCTGTCTGCACGTCTCGCGCGCGCGTGAACAGGGCTCCAGGCCCCAAATGACGTGTGAGTGTTAGATTTGTTTGGTATTGCTAAAAATCTCTCTCAGGTCTAGCCGGGCCCGATTCGTGGTACTTTTGATGTTTGCGCGCCGGATCTCGACTCCGCCGTGCTGCGGTGCGTCCCAAAGCAAAACTTGTGTCAGAGGGGCCAGATTGGCCGATTTATAACGACAAGACCGCGTCTGAAGACTATTTTGCCGCGACACCGATTCCCGGTTGAGGGCCCGCGGTTGTGGCTAGTGGAGCGTGCTGTACAATCCGAAGGCGTTCCCATGGCCTCACGGGCCCGTCGACGATCGAAAAATCAAAAAGGCCTCATTTTTTTTATGGATCCTTGGGACGGCCGCCAACTCACTCGACCTTGGTCCCCGATCGCGATTGCGACGAGACCGCCCCTGCCGTCCTCGCCGCCGCGCACCTGCTCCGCCACCTGCTCCGCCGCCGATCTCCATGTGGGCCTCCCTCACGCGCAAGCACAGCCAAGCGACCAGCCTCACCGCTGGTTCGACCGAGCAAGACCCCACCGCCTGGTCGGCCCCGCTGACGCCACCAGCGGGTCAGTACTCAATCAACCTGCGGGTGTCCCGAGAAGATGTGGCTTCTCACTGGGACAACGAGTACCCGGCCATGGTGTGGGAGAACTCGCGGCTCTCAATCACGGGCGGTGGTGTGCCCGAGGGCAGGTTGCGGCTGGCCCTACGGCTGCTCCTTGCTGCGCCGGCATGCGTGTGGGAGGCTGTCCGGTGGAACCTCGTCTGGCGCAGCCTGCTGCAGCCGGGTGTTACGAGGGACGCACTGCTCCTCGTGTGGACGTTCACTCTGCTGGCGGACCTGATGCTCCTTCCGCTGGTCGGGAGGTGGAGCGACGGGATGCGCTCGCGCCTCGGCCGGCGAAAGCCTCTCCTCGTCGCTGCTGCGGTCCTCGGCGCGCTCGCCGCGGCGTGGGTGCCAGACGCGCCACAGCTGTGTGCCTTCACCTTCCTCGCCTTTGCAGCCTGCAGCCCGCTCTTCCTCGTCGGGCACGGCTCCCTCCTCGTCGAGGTGACGCCGCTGCACCACTGCCGCGCCTCCCTCCTGGCGGGCACCGAGGCGGCGCGCGCTGCGGGCTCTCTCATCGGAATCGGCCTCCCGCTGGCGCTGGGTGTCGAACCAGCGGACGCGACGAGCCGGCTGCTGGCAGCGCTGCTGAGCATCTTGCTTCTCGCGAGCGCGGGGCTGCTCGCCGCCCTCGTGCCGGAGCGGTCCGTCGAGCTGCTCC